CTTTCCATTTATCCCAGTCACGTCTTTTCTGACATTCAGCTACAGATTTTGGTTCAGGATCCTCAACTTCATTATCAATTTCTTTTGATACCATATATGCGAATGCATCATCATTATTCATGATCTCATCACGCTTCCAAAGATTCCCATTGTTCACGTAATTGATGGAAATTTCACTATTTTCATTTTGTCCCGAAATTTTTCCATCATCTTGATTCCTTTTCAAATTGGAGTCAAGAATTTCTCTTTTCTTTCGAGGATTCTTATCTTTAGACCCAACTGGTCTTCCTCGTTTCAAGCGTGTCTTTGACTCATTTGGCTTATTGTCATTTGCCATTTCTTTTGGAATCTCAATTCGAGCAGGGGCATTTACGGCTACCACATGTGATTTGGTCACCCTTTTTAAATCAGTAAATGCATCTGGCAATTGATTTGCAATATTCTGCAAATGTATGATCTTTTGAATTTCTTGCTCTCTTTGTTTGGTGGGAGGATCAAGATATGATAATGCGGATGTTCTCCATTCAATATTTCTCTCAATTGACTTTTCATTCCCACCTAAAGGGGGAAACAATTCTTCATTAAAATGACAATCATCAAAACGAGCTGTAAAAACATCACCTGTTTTTGGCTTAAGGTATTTGATTATTGATGGAGATTCATATCCAACATATATTCCCAACCTTCTTTGAGGCCCCATTTTTTTACGTTGTGGCGGAGCAATTGGTACATATACTGCACAACCAAAAACTCTTATATGTGCAATATTTGGTACTCGACCATATGCCAACTGTAATGGCGAGAATGTATGGTATGCACTTGGTCTTATTCGAATTAGATCATCTGCATGCAGAATAGCATGTCCCCATACTGAAGTGGAGAGTTTTGTTCTCATTATCAATGGTCTAGCTATAAGCTGCAGTCGTTTAATAAGTGATTCTGCTAGACCATTTTGAGTGTGAACATGTGCCACAGGATGTTCAACATCAATTCCCACAGCCATACAATAATCATTAAATGCTTGAGATGTAAACTCTCCAGCATTATCCAGTCTGACTCTCTTGATAATATAATCTGGGAATTGAGCCCTTAATTTAATAAGTTGGGCAAGTAATTTAGCAAATGCCATATTTCTAGTGGATAACAAACTTACGTGAGACCATCTACTAGAGGCATCAATCAACACCATAAAATATCTGAATGGACCACAAGGTGGATGAATAGGTCCACATATATCACCATGAATCCTTTCTAAAAATAATGGTGATTCATGTCCGACTTTAGTATGTGATGGTCTCATTATCAATTTCCCTTGAGAACAAGAGGCACATGTCAACTCATGTGTTTGCAATATCCTCTCATCTTTTAGTGGATGGCCACTAGAATTTTCAATAATTCGTCGCATCATTATCGAGCCAGGGTGACCAAGTCGATCATGCCAAAGTTTAAATATTTCATTCGACTTTGAATTTGTTGCAACATATGCCTCAATTATATTAATCCGGGTATAATACAAACCCGAGGATAAAGCGGGTAACTTCTCCAAAACACATTTATTTCCCGCATTATCTGAGGTAATGCAAAGATATTCAACTCCCCCTTTATTCATCGTTTCAATGTGGTATCCGTTCGTTCGGATATCTTTAAAACTCAACAAATTTCTTGTTGATTTTGGGGAGAATAGTGCATCACTTAATATAAATTTTGTACCGCCCATCATAAAAAATATGGCTTTTCCAAAACCTTCAATTATCTTTGCACTTCCGGATATTGTGTTTACTTTTGCTTCATTTAATTTCAAGTTCACGAAATATTTTCTGTCCTTGAGGATAGTATGAATAGTAGCACAATCTGCAATACATATATCTCCATCTTGAATTCGAGACCGATCCATGATCTAAAAGAAAACAACATTTATTATTGATCAAATTCAAAGTACAGATACAAGTAGCTCATACACAAATACATTACAACTCAAAAAGCAAAATAAAAATATGATCATCAGTTATTCTCTAGGTCATTTCCAGCTCCGTCTTCAAATGCCGCATCGGCAAAATCCAGTTTCAATATGTCATCGATGCCATAGTCATCATCCACACGCGTTGCATCATTTTCAGAGGATTCCCCAACCATAAAATTAGTTTCTATATTCTTATCTTTTGATTTCTGGGAATCTTGGTATTTTTCAACCTCGTGCCTTGGGGCTCGACAATTTCGAGCCCAATGGTTATTTCTACCACATCGATAGCATGCCTTTTCATCGTTATCCCCTTTATTATTTTCAGAATGTTTATGAAAATCATTTTTTCCATGTCCATGATAATTACCTCGGCCAGATTTGTATCCTGGGAAAAAATTTCGGCCTCGTCCATAATTTCTATCTGGACCATATCCACGGCCACGTCCACGTCCACGTCCACGACCACGGCCACGTCCCGAGGTATATCCACGCACATTTGTTTGGCTGTTTTCATTTCCGGTTCCCTGTTTAGATATTACAACATTTATTTCAGGGACCGCAGTAGACCCCGTGGGTCTAGATTCATGATTTTTCATCAATAGCTCATTATTTTGTTCGGCTAGCAACAAGCAAGAAATCAGCTCAGAATATTTCACAAAGCCTTTTGCTCTGTATTGTTGCTGCAAAAGTACGTTTGAAGCGTGGAATGTGGACAACGTTTTTTCAAGCATATCGTAATCAGTTACGTTTTCCCTGCATAATTTCAATACCGAGCAAATGCGGAACATGGCTGAATTGAACTCGTTTACAGTTTTAAAATCTTGGAAGCGTAAGTGCATCCATTCATAATGAGCCCGGGGGAGAATTACTATTTTCTGATGATCGTATCTTTCTTTCAAAGCTTTCCAAAGATCCGCAGGATCTTTCACAGTTAAGTATTCATTTTTCAATCCCTCATTTAAATGGTGCCGCAGAAATATCATTGCTTTAGCTTTATCTTGTATTGATGAATTATTTGGGGAGATTATTGTTTCTCCCAATCCCCTCGCGGCCAAATGAATTTCGGCATCCAGTGTCCATGAAATATAATTTTTTCCCGAAATGTCAAGAGCCTCAAATTCAAGTTTGACCAGATTTGCCATGATAACTATAAAATAAAACATCAATGCTTATATTAGAGAAAATTACATTATACAATCATTAATTCTCCATAACGTACAGAAAAACAAATAAGAGACACATCATACAAAAACCTAATACATAAAGTATAAATTCAGTGGTATGATACATCATCGTGAAAATTCTCAAAGTGTAAAAAATAAACAATATAATGGTAATTATAAATAGTAGATGAAACATTCTTTTTCGTTTGAGGGAAATATATTTTTGTATTTGAAATGAGTGTTAATATATGAAGTGTAGTGTGATATATATATATATAAGTTGATAAGTAGCCGTTGCAATATAGCCGTTATGTAGCCGTTGGGAACAAATTAATGATATAATATTTGTTAGTTAATCATTCATGATTATAAAATACTAATTAATCATGTATATTATCTTAAAAATTCATCGAGCCACTATGTGAACAATTTAATGAATATAAGTGTCAAAACAAATAAAAATGTCACTCCACACTACTTGATAAATCTTTCGGTGGGTACAAATATAAGCAGTTATAAATTTCACACCACATTACTGGGTGAACCATTTTGTGGGCGTTAAGTATAAGTAATAATATTATTTATTATAACTTGAAGTTATATATCATAATTAGTAGTAATCATAAGAAAATTTAATAATATCATCTTACCACATATTATTGACTATGGCATAGCCTTACTTGCCAATAATAATGGTAATATGTATATCAGTAAAATATACTAATTTTAGGTAATATATATATACATACATATATAATTAGTATATTCCTACCTTTCTTGATCGGATAGAGCGCTCGTGCTGATAACGTGTTATAAAAACGAGAAAGATAAAGAACACAAAATAGAAACCGGATAGAAATTATACTGAATATTTCTTTCTTCTTTCTTTCTTTCAATGGTGCAAATTTTCTCTACACTTGGAGTGCCTTTTATAGGCAAAACTCTCCCGACACAATTCACATCAATTATTAATATCCATACCCCATTTCACTATTCCCATAACATCAAATAATGGAGTGAAATTATTTTGTGCATAGTGGTTTATTCCACTTGTACATATTATAACAATATATATGTTTTTGGTACAAAAATATATTTTTTGTTTGAACAAAAGTGAAACAATTAAAAAAATACGTACTATACATATCATATCGTAGGGGGATTTTATATTAGAAGAATAAAATTTTAGTAAATAATAGTCTATACTCTACAGATTTGGATTTGGATTGATGGGCAAACTATTTTTCTCCCAAGTATATTACCATTAGGATTGAATTTGCACGAATAATAAAAACTTGACAAGTCGAGAAACAAGTCAAACAAAAGATTCTAAAAACGCAGAGACGTAAAGCACCGGGCTTTGAGGATCAATGGCGAAGAAGGCGAAGGCACCGATAGATGAAAAAGCTGATAGACTGCAGCGGTTGAAGGAATCAAGACGAAAGCTTGAGAACAGATTCTGCGTTCGAATTTCTAGCGCCGCTTTTGAATTCGCCGTTCATGGCCTCGAGACCTTCCACCCCCAACTCATCTCTGGTTAGCCAGTTATTTACTAATTTCTGATTCGTTCGCTTTTCTCATGTGCTAACTATGAATTTGTATTTTTATTTTTTTCGGGGAATTTCTTGTTGTAAGCCAGTTATTGTGCGTTTTCTATTTTTTCTCGGTTCTGATTTGGATCAAATTTAGTATTTTTACTTCACCGGAGAATAGAAATCGTCGCGTGATGATGACTTTGACCACTGCTCAATTCGATGCTTTACCAATATCTGCTGTATGTTTATGTATCATGGTATAAATTTCTCATCTTCAAAAAAGTTTCATATGGCAACACTAATTTTGTTTTGTGATGACTGATGACAGATGAAGCCTCTCCTTGGAAGCCCATAGAAATTTTGGCCCGAGCATGTAAGCTGGTGGTTGAGAGATTCAAAAATTGTGCATATGAGCGTGATTTCTACGAGAACGCATACCGACTGCGTTGGGCCCTTGTTGAAATAGTCGAACTGTTCAATAAAACCGATTGGTATAGCAAGTCATGGGTGGATCGGTTGAGGTGGGACCGTGATTCGGCCTCGATTTTAATGGGCGAGTTTTTAAGTAGATGGGAGGTTGTTTTGGAGTCGCCACCCAGAGGTTTTGGTGTCTTGTTCTCAGATTTTGCCAAGAACATTAAAATCCTAAGGAAAAATGCTTATTCACATTTGTCTAGTCGTAGAATAGCTAAGCTCCTGGACGTGATTCAAGATGGATTGATTTATTCTTTCGAGCGTCACTTGACAGTCAGTCAAGTTGATGTTGCTCAGGTTAATTTATCTTGTGGATATATCCATATCTTACGCTCATCCTTACCAAACATTTACTTTACTTTGTCCTGATTCTGTTTTATATTTTTACTTTCTGCTAGGTGGTGAGCACCCTGACTGATGTCCCGCCTACTGTAATTCTGCCGTCTATTGACCACCAGAAGGAGGCGATTTATATGACGTGTCGGGGTTTGTTGGAACAAAACAACACGATTCATGAAATTTACGCAACATTGGTCTCCACAAGGCGAGGCAGTAATAACCTTCCGAGGGGTTCTTTTCTCTTACTGGGCTCCACGGGAACTGGTAAGACGGATATTGCCAGGGCCGTTGCCGAGTATTGGTACTGTGATGCGAGCAGGCTTGTAGAGATAGACTTATCAGATTATGATGCAGAGGAAACAGCCGAATGGTATTTTGCTATATAAACTCCGAAAAACTTCATTTCTTTTGGGGGTCTCTATGCTATTGCTGACCGAAGCTTTTTTTTTTTCTTTCTTTTTTTTTTCTGTTTAGTTCGACGGAGAAGCATGAGGACTTTTGGGGCCGTCTGACAGGAGTTGTGGCGAGACGTCCTTACTCGGTGATTGTTATAGACAATATCGAGAAGGCCTCTCCTTCAGTTATGAGGGTTCTCCTCGAGCTTTTGCGCGGTGAAGCTCAGGCAAGTGATGTTGTCGACTTCTCTAATTCGGTCATCTTCATGACGTCAGGTGTGGGGTCCGATCAGCTTGATTTGCGATGTGTGTGCCATAAGCGAAACGAAGATCTTTGGAACCAGTTCTTGAGCAATCAGTACATATTCCGTAAGACTCACGATTGCATTTTAAAAGGCAGTGGTCCCGAAAGAGCGCTTGCCGCGGTACAAAATAAATGTCTTTGATCTCTTAATTTCTTTATTTGTAAGAAAAAGAATGAAAGAAATTAATTAGATCATGTTCTCACTGATTTCCCTTTTTTTTTGTTTTTTTCTTAATTTGCAGGCGAAAAAGTTGTTGGGCACTGATCTGTTAGATTCGGTTGATAAAGTTTTTATTTTGAAGAGGTTTACGAATTACAGGAGTGTTCTGAGGGTGCTTCTGAGGAAAATTGTTAGCCAACTCTTTGGAGACAAAAGACTCATTGTGCATGCCTCTAATGAAGTGCTAAATTTTTTATTCCTTGAGGCTCTACAAAAGTTTGTGAGTAGATATTTCATGTTCGCTCAGACATGGTGTTGAGTGTATAGATTTGCTAATCTTTTCTTCTTGGTTGGGTCTTTGCAGGGTAAAGGTGGGAAGGCTTTAGAAAAAGTTTTGCATGAGCACATCGTTCCATGGCTAACAGCTGTAGATGATCTTAAAACAGATGTTGTAGTGCGGGTTGATAAATTTGCGGGGGCACGTGAACTATTGTTTAGCTTCCAAGAACAAGAAACATGTGTGGACGATTGGTACTTCAAGTTCAAGGACGGGACCTTTGATAAAGCGGTTGGCAATGTAAGGATGAAAGTGGAATCCATGCACCGGATATTCAAGTCTATAAATGAGTACAAGCGATTGTTGCAATGCAGAAATGGCACGCGTGATTCGGGTCGTCTGGTTGTGGATATTTGTGATGAGATCCTAAGATGGTCCCCATTTCCTGAACGGCAACCGTTTCATAATCTTTATTTGAATTTATGAACGGTGTAGGGTGTCTTTTATGAGCCCAACTTAACAAAATCTTAAACACAGTACCAAGGCCAGCCATATCTCGAGGTTGATCAGGTCACACTTACAGGGGCTGCTTTTTGACAGTACAATTGGTTTTGTCTTCAAGTAGAGCAATCTCAAACTCAAATATACTAACTTAAATGATTAAGACACAACAAATGTTAATATAACTCATGTTGGACAAGTGCATTTGCGTAGAGTGTGGACCATTACATGTACGTTTCAATGCATTTATGTCTTAATATTACAAGAAAGCTCCATACAATTTGAAGGTAAAATACATCATATTAGGTTATCAATAAATCACATTTTTGTCCCACTGTCGTGTTTTTGTTTTTGTTGTTGCTGCAAAAGAAACATAAAAAATGAACAAAAACACTACACAATATGCGTCCATCTCAATATATCGACACAAAATCTCTGTTTGCAATCTTCACCACTCATCGAACATTATCGATCTCTCCTACAGTGAAAAAATAAAAACTGATTTTAAAAGTAAAAAAAGGTTTGAAGATTTATTGGGAAAATGCCTTTTAGAATAATGGTGATAAATACACGGGCATTCTTATGTCCACGCTATTCTTATTTTTT